GGGAGAGAAAAGTGGGGCAAGGATTTGTGGGTGGCTGGGCGGGCAGCCAGCCAGCCAGAGGGAAGGCGGATTGATGTTAGTCGGTTTTGTCAGTTGTCTGCGTATGTATCATTCATTCATTCATCAGAGTGTGTGGGGTGTGTTGTGTTCCCTCCCTGATAGTGCTGTGTGTATAGTCTGTCCATAATGAGTGAGTGATTGGTACGTACCATCGTGTGGGGGTGAGTGGGCGAGCGAGCAAGTCAGTCAGTCAGTCAGATGGGGACAACGGATGGCCATATCGATCGATGCACAGGTACGTCCGTGTGTGTGCCAGACACGGCTTACCAGCCACACGGACGTAGCTGGGCATCGATACATATGGCCATTGTCCCCATCTGCGTCTGTCAGTCAGTCAGTCAGTCAGCAAGACCACCGTCCGTCTATCTCTCTATCTCTCTCTCTCTACGGCCAGCCACTGGCGAGCCATGAGCGAGCCATCTTCATTCATCCGTTCATTTCATTCTTGTACAGCAGCTGCCGGCAGCGATGTCATGAAGGTTCTCACTCACTGTGATGTGATCTGATGGATGGATGGATGAGACACAAGTCAGTCAAGTCAGTCATCGAGTCAATGATCTTCTTTGCCGTCAACACCACACCCACCCATAGACACACACACGAACAAACAGACAGACAGACAAATAGATATAAACACATGTGTCACGTAAGTCAAATAGGCAAGTGCTCAGTCAGAGCAGCACAGGGTCCGATGTGTACGTGGGCGGCTGGTTGGGGTCGTCGCCATAGGATGGCGGCTTCACATCGTCGCCGCTTCCAATCACTTGAGGCGCCGTCTCGGCCATTTCTGTCTGTTCCCTTCGGCCATGAGCATAGCCGTCCCACCTCGACCGCATCTCACGAAAGAGCCCCTGCACCGCCCCCAGCACATATTGCGCCCACAGAAACTCCGAAACAACAGCCGCAATAGTCATAACAACGGCAAACACCAGCCACTCGTCTTCATCCTCCATCTCCTTGCGAAACCGAAAGGCCTCCACCCAAGCCTGAACGACACAGGGTCGTCAAAAACACAGAGTGACCAAGGCGGTCTGTCTCTTGCTCACGTACGTCGCCAGTAATAAAGCCGATTCCCGTCGTTATGATGGTCAGGATTTCCCCCAGGATTGCCCTTCTGATACGCTGCACCTCAGCCACCGCCCCCTCCGTGTCAACAGTGACCCCTCCAGCAGCAGCAGCTTGCGGGGGTCTCTTTGTGGTGCCCAGAATGAACTGCAGGAGAACGATAAAGATAGCCCCGAAGATGGTCGACAGCACTGCCCGGACGATGAGCTTCCGTCGAATGTCGTCAAGGCCGCCATAGTCGCTGCCTTCGAAGATGGAGAGGGTGACTGCAGATGAGAATGCAAGGGCCGCGGTGTAGACGGCCGCCTTGGCGACGAGCTGGAAATGCAGACCCAGGACGTCCCGCCCAGCACTCATGACGAAGCCTTGCAATTAAGGAGACAGACACGGACGGAGACACATGGGGAGGGGGGGGGGGG